AGCATGGGGCTGCGGTACTTTCTCGTTTCTCATTAAAAAGACATTTTGAGAAGTGATACAATAATCAACGATTTTTAACTCACCAATGTTTTATAGTTAGTCAACTTGTCCCCAGACAGTCGCAGCTTTCCTCGAACCTTGGTGCAAACAATTCTTACAACTGCTCTTCAATAAAGGCACGATCTGGGGTAAATTTACTTCTTCCTATGTCAGTCTTTCAGCTTAAAAATAATGACTGAGCTCTAACCTTAATGTCGCCGAGTTACGGTAACCGCCGATCGGCGAGATGTCACGGTATTGATATTGGCTTACGACTGAACAGAAAGATACTGAACTATTGACGTCACTAAAAAAGTGATCTAGATGTTTATTCGTCCTTTAGCCTTCTAAAATTAGATCTGCATGTCAATCTGATTATTATTCATTGAAGGTTTTATTGCTTTTGTCGGCGACACTGCCGGTCGGCGGTTCTGTCTGACCAAGTAATTGGAAGTGATTAGCGAGTCCTTCAGTGTCTCTTGTATAGAAAAGAACATTCTAATTATGGATTCCATAGCATTAGATTGCAAAATGGATTTCATCTTTTTATTTTTTGATTTTCCCAAGTTTAAATTCATGGTCCTCATAAGAGTTAACTGACTGTATATTTGCTTGAAAAATTTAGCGCACATTTCTCAAGATTATATTTTTTATGTGGTTTCGTGATGACATTTGAATGGAAGGGAATAAAAATCATCACTACATACTACCAGTAGTTGTGGTCTAATTAATTACACGTCGTCGATATTGAACCAAAACACAAATATCGTTGTGGTTTCGAATCGACATGAAAAGCAAATATTTGCTCCACATGACGTGCTGTGTCCATCTTCTTGAATTTGAGGACTACATTGCATTTCGTGGAACATTCTTTCATTTTTTCTGCTCTAACGTGTTCTCAAAGGCATCACATTGGGCCTATTTGAGATGATCTCCTTAACAAAACCATGAAGATTAGCATGCGGAAAGTTACGTGTAAACTAAGGTTCTGCGCCATCCGCTGTCTGAGTTGACAAAAAAAATGTCAACACATAACCCAGTTAAAACAATTGATGATTTATTATTGTTTACACGAACCTTAGACCTCCTTTGCTCGAGAACAGGTTTTCACATGTTCAGTGAAGTAATCACTGTGCCGCTTTTATACTTTAGCAAACGAGCATTAAGTATTTTTTTTAAACAATACTCTTTTGTGTAGTTTATATTCGAGTTAGAAATGCTCTTCACATCGTCAAACAGTCCTAAAACACGAAATGTTAAGTTGAGTCCGACCGGTTCCCGCAGAGAAGAAAGCGTTGGGATCAGACTGCAGTAACATGTCTCTTAGCTCTGACGAATGACTAACGTGAGAAAAGTCACCTTTAGAAACATCCGGATTTCCCGCGACCACCACCGTGACTGATCGTTTTTCTGTAGAAAATGAACAGATGACCAAAAACACTGATGACCAACCATATTGTCATGTTATATATATTGATTAGTCGCATGATCCATCTTTCCAACCATCAAGCCATCGCTCATCAACCTTTGAATAATCAAATTCTTTTTTTCCAAGCCTCTTGTTCACTTCATTAAGCACATGGCACATCCACTGACAAAAACTGTATCTGTTGCTTATGTCATGGGGGTGAGTTTGTAACCTGAATGAAAAAAAAAATCACGATAAACAGTACACAATTTTCAGTCAAATGAAAAATCTAATGCCTGTATTGCTGCTCTAAAACTTACCTTTCTCTAAGATGTGAAGCACAATCTTCACAGGGATAAAATTTGGAAAATATTTTTACAAAACCAGCCATGTCATTTTGTTGTTGTTGGGAAGTATTGTGTGGATAATAAGCAGCCATTGTGTGAAGAAAGTTCCATGTTGATCGGCCTATCAAGGGGACACTCTATACTGGATTCATCCTGAGATGCTGAGTCATGGCTTTGAGATGAGTTCTTGCTATAACTCTGTTAAAAAAAATGAATAAAAACATGCAACTAGTGAAAGGAGATAATTTCATAATACTAGAAAGTGAAAAACAGTAGAAAAGGAAAGATGAAAAAGGAAATCTGTAAGGAGAGAAGTTCAAAGGAAGGGATGACTGGGAGGGGTGACAGGAAAGATGACGGGGGGAGTGGGGAGACGAAGGGAGAGGAGTGTGTAGGGAAGAAGGAAACCAGAAAGTATGTCAGGAGGAAGGGGAGGGAGGGGGAAAACAAGAGGTTGTCATTGAACTCTACACTCTGACCACAAAGACCATGAGACGCCCTAAAATAACAAGTTGGAGGTGTTATGCTACTGTATCTAGCTCGAGTAGCACGGAAAGGGAATAATACTGATCAAAGTAGTTAGGCATCTGTTTAACAGGTCTTAACAGTGTCTTATTAATAGTTACGATTATGCTTGACTGAATATTAACTGTTCACTATCCTTGGAAAGGTTAATGAGCAACCGAAGGCTATTTGAGTGGAGCCGTAATTTCCTAACAAAATCGACAGTCACCCACTCCGGTAGTTATGCATGCGCTCGCATACTATGGAAACGCTTTCAGTGATTTGAAATAGCTTCTGATGAGAATTGGGTTAAAAATTAAAATTAAAGGATTATTCAAGATTTCTGAGAGGAGCTTATCATTGCCACCTAAAATTTGGGGCAATCGAATAACACATGATGCAACCCAGGTGATGTAACATAATTTCTCCTTCACGTCGTAATGATGTTCTTTTTTCAAATATGTTGTAGTTCGGATTCTATTGATTTTGTGATGATCTAAAAACCTTACCGTTGTACATTTGTTTCTATTCCCTTGATTCATCCATGACTTGAAATCCGTACATGCACGACAGGGCTTTTAACGATGCAGAGGAGACATGTCTTGGTCCGACATCTTTACAGAAATTAGTCAATACGTTACGTAAGAGCACATGACTAGCACTAACAAACAATTTGTGCGCCCGCGTTCCTTAGTACTGGGCAAACGGTAACAAAGGGCGGTAGGTTGTCTGCTCCGATAGATCTTTGAGGTAGCTCTTTGGCCTCCTGTAATCACTATCCTTATGTTCCTCTTGGGGTTTACCTAACGCTATTAAAACCCACAAAATGTTAGACTTTCAGTCATATCACCGCGGTCTTTTGGTATCTCTTTGCTCCACGACCTAGATTCAGGATGTTACGTGAAGCTAACGAAGCAAGTAACCAACATGTCACAGCCTTTATCCACAAATATCCTTTTATCCTTGTTTTTTCGAGGGTTAAGCCAGTAAAAATTGACCGCACTTTTGCACGCATGCCATTGTGGACGTTAGCCAAAGTCGATTTTGTCACATTTGCATGACGACGTTATTTACGGACAACGCGGTATTTGCACAGTTTCACTTTCTAAGGATAAATTATACACTATGCATGTTACATTATGCATCGATAGCAAAAGTGGAGCCAAGATATATGTAAGTTATCTTTACACTCCCAAATTATATTTTAACTCTAACCCAGTCGGATCTTCATTGTCGCGTAATTCCATCTTCATGCGTCAGCGGCCATTTGTTTTTGACCTTCCTCACCTGAACAGAGGAGAGAGTACCCACATTAAAGATGTATTCCCGTAATTCATCTCTGCATAGTTCAAATTTCGTTAAATGAACTAAATATGCAGAGTGTGTTTTTATATAATGTAGATACGTGAGACGCATTTGTGGAAAGCGCGGGAGTAATTTTTCTGCAGAAACAATTCAAGGCATTCTATTTTTCGCGCTTTAAACACTGCCGCACGATGATGTTTACGGTAATGAAGCTCAGTCTTAAGTGTGTCTAAAAATTCTAAGAAATTTGATATATCACGGGAGACTCAATATGGCAGCATTTTCTCCTCAGTAAAATATTAGTCAGTAATACACCTTCTCATGTCAAATCTTCATATGCACCATGAAACTTCCCGTCGTTTCTGCAATAACTTTCATAGTGAACTTAAAACTTTTGACATGGTAAATAATTCAATTGTTTCCCAATACTTAAACGCAGGATCAACTCGCCAATTTTTTTCTAGACTGAAATTGATACTCGGTAAGCATCATTTATTACCAATGTCTAAATAGAGCGGGCAGAAGTCACTTATTTATATGAAAAATCTAATGATTAAAACATTAAAAAGGGATTTGACGCAAAAATTTGAATAATAACCAAGATGAACACTTTCCACATTACAAATTTAATGGACTTTCAATTGTCTGTACATCAGCAGCTGCTGCGACAGGCAGACGCAACAACCATTTAAGTTCGAAACTGATATACATCGGCAACCTAATTAAAGGATGTTTTATAAATGGGCAGTCTGTGTACGTATTTATAACAACAATCTTCTTCTCGCTGGAGGATACCTAGTAAAACGACAGCTTTTGTAAGTGAAAAAAGTAATACATGTTTTTTTTTTCGCGCAAGCCGGTTTAACCAAATTAATTTACCCAAGATAAAGAGACTATTAATTAATTTGAAGTTTTTTCGCAAATATTCGTTTTATGTGAATATGATTCACGTGCGACATTTTTGGCCGACTACCCTGCGGAAACCATTGTGAAGATTTTTACCCAGACTAGCTACGAACCGAAAAGGTGAAAAAAAACTTTGGACTCACCATGTGTTAAAAGCCTGTATAACACTGTTCAAACATTGAAGATGCAAGGTTAGCTGCTGACGAGTTTGTGGGTCTGGTTAATAGCTGAGATAACAGAAATATCCTTGCGTTCTGTAATCTACATCTACTAGTTATCATATCTACACTTTCTTATTCACAGATAGTATCATTACCTGACTTGTTTTGCAACTTATTTTGTGGGAGTAGAACACATTGTGGTGATGGTATACTTGTAGGTTTGTGAGCGTGGCTGCAGCACTGAAAACGTGACACATGTACTGAGAATAAGTTTTGGGCAGAAACGATTCACAAAACGAACGCATTGACCACGACTCTTTAAGCCCCGCAATGGAGAAGAACTTGCAATGGTGGACCGAGGTTGCAGTTATCATAACAGTATTCATCATAGGGCTTGTAGGAAACATATTTGTTCTTATCATAGTTAACGAGAGAAACGTTAGGAAGACAATTCATGGAACATTTGTTATAAGTCTGGCTATTGCAGATTTGGTTTTGCTGTGTTCGGATTCGCCTGTTTCTATTCTACAACACTTCAGCCTTACGTCTGAAACATACAACTGCAGAGTACATCTGACTGTTGTTACAACCGGATACAATGCAGGACTTTTCACCATCACATCCATGGCGATCTATCGGTGCCATGCTGTAACAAATCCTTGGAGGCCAAAGCTAAAACGAAGAGGTGCAGTAATATGGGTGTCCTTCGTGTGGCTGGCAGCTTTTATTTTCGTTATTCCACTCATTGTTGTTAGTAAAATAACAAAAGATGGCAAATGTATAGAAGATTGGCCTTCCCTTGCTCATCGCCAGGCATACACTGTCTTACTCCTCACAGCACAGTATATTTTACCGCTGCTGATTACTGCAATTTGCTACATACGAATATGGCTTTTTATGAGAAATCGACCGGTGTTTCCGAGAAACAGCAATTTATTCACTAACAGACGGATCCCAGGAGAAGAAAATACAAGAGAGAGTATGATAATACTGAAAACCGTGGCAGTAATTGTGTTCTTGTTTTTGGTGTTGTTGTTGCCTAATCAAGTCGCGTGGATGCTGTTGGATTTCAGAAATGTTTCCTATGAAGAACTTTGGTTTGTTGCAGATATACTAACAAGACTCCATAGCTGTCTAAACCCAGTCGTCTATGGGGTGATGAATAAACAGTACCGTCGTAGTTACGTCACGTTTTTAACACGCACCCTGTGCTACCGTCACGTGTCACGTGTCGCGCAGGCGCCAACATAGGATAAAAGATAAAGATGAAAGATACATAGTTTATTCACAATCGCTTTGCAACTAGAAATTGAATTACACGCTTATTACAAAAGATGATATCAATAGTAAGATTAAATAGAACTATCAGTGGTTTAAAGCAAGTTTTTACGAAAATTTGTTTTTACATCTGTTTTGGTTATAAATGAAATATGTCGATTAAATCTAAAATTCTATCAAAATAGGTTTAGGCTTTAAGGGCATTAAAAGTGATAAAACT